GAAGGGGGGAAGGCTGGAGAAAGGGAAGGAAAGGAGTGAAGGAAGGAAGGATAAGGGGGAGAGGGAGGGACCAGCTGTACGCACAGCACCTGTGGCCTTCATCGAGGAGCGCAGCAATGGAGGGCCGGTCGGGAAGGACCGAGGGAGTGAGTGTGCGGACTCAAGTTGCCTCCCGGCCTCTGGTCTCCTGGCCATGCCTCCCGGATGCTTGGAGAAAGGACCTGTTTGGTGAGACCCAGTAGGCCAGCCTTCTGGGAAACAGCTGGAGGCGGCTCTGAGGGAGGAGCAGCCATCCAGCAGCCTGTCGGCCTCAGGCCTAACGGGGAGAGCATTTGATCAGCCAGCTTCTGGCCTAATGCTCTGTCCACCGCTCATTCAGCCTATAGTCACTGCTCAGCTGCCTCCTGCTGGGCTCTGTGCTGTGGCTCAAGACAGGGCAGAACAAGAGGCTCCCTGCCTGGAGGCGCTCAGGCTTGGGGGATCTTGAACCTGGTTGGCCTGCTATCGCAAGTGCCATTTTGGCCCTTTATTTTCCAAGTCTGACTACATTTGTACCCAAACAACCTAACTTTCCTGAATCTTTTCTCTATGCCTCTTAATTTTTCCCTTGTTTTCACAAACAAGAGGAAACTCTACATTCAGCTTCCGTGTGGCATCCTGTTAGCCAGCCAGGAACAACTCTGCTAAGGAAAGCTAATGATCCCAACAGATGTCGATATTATTTTATCACATTAGATATTTAAAAATAAAAGAGACAAAGGTGAGAAAAACACCTTTTCTTCTACAAAGAAATAATAAAAGTTAAGGAGCCCAGAAAGGCTACCTTGACTGTACATAGCTGCTCATGTCTGAGCAGATTGCCTTTACCCAAGCTAGCAGCAGTCCTCAGAGTAGGAGTTCAAGGTTGCTCCATTAGTGGAGTCAATGTAGAGCTCTCGTTGCTATAGCTTGAAAGAGTTGAAAGTGTTCTTGGAGCAAAATGCAAGAATGTTTGCTCTCTTGGTCATTTATTACTCTGGTCAGAGCAACCTTAGTTTTGATACTTCCATTCCTCCACGGCAAAGGAGAGACCCTCATGGTTTGGAATCTTCCCCTCAGCATTTGCTAGATGCTTATAAGCTTGGCCTCCCACTGCCCAGCCCCCAAGCAAACAAGCCTGAACGGACCCCTTTTGAGAGACCAGATGTTCAGAAATAGCAACTCTAAGGGTGGGGAACTGTTGCATTTACCAGAAAGGATGTCCACCAAAGGGGCAATAAGCTTTTCCACTCAGCAGAAAAGAAAAGAGTTGTTTTGAAGTTGTTTGAGGGGCATGTGCAGTTGGAACATCAGAGTCATAGATATGACCATATTGGAAATTAGCATTGCTAATGAGGTTTTCAGAGCTTCACATCATTTTAATCTACTTAACCTTCTCTATAAATACTCACTTAAGAAAGCCTGGACCTCTATTTTTAATAGTCTAATAATGGATTGATGTTATTTTTAAGGCAGTAGCAACAATGCTAACATAATTTTTCAAACAAAAACCATCAAATGCTGGCATATTGCTTTATTTTGTGTCAGATCAAATTTTGTGTTGTAGAGTGGTAGCCAGCTGTCTGAGCTGACTGATAAAATGGAAGGTGAAGACAGTCTAAGTGGCTACCTGACAAGAGTATTTGTTCTCCAGTGACAAAGGTGAGTTAAACGTTGGAACTCAAGTTTTTAAGGACCATTAGTCAGTATAGTTTGCAAAAAGAGCTCTCTGGCATCTTTGACAGCGCCTCCTTTCTAAGAACCCTTCCAGAAGCTTCCCTGAGTGAAAAGGAAACCGGTCTATTCACTCATTCCAATGGATTCCCTGTCCTTCCTCAAGGCTGAGTCCTTTGATAAACCTAGGCTTCTCTTCTGCCATCTGAAGCCTCATGTAGTCTCATGTTGGTTCACTGATTTGATTATTTCTTTGTTTTTGGTACCGGGGATCGAACTCAGGACCTGGCGCTTGTGAGGCAGGTTTGGTGCCACCGAGCTCAATCCCCAGCACCGATCATTCATTTATTCATCAAATATCTATTGAGGCCGGGGATTACCTCAGTGGCACTGTGCCTGCCTCGCAAGCGCAAGGTCCTGAGTTCAATCCCAGTGCCCCCCAAAAGCATTTAGTGAGCACCTGCTACATGTGCCAAGCGCTCTCCTGAATGCTGAGCAGACCCTCCCCTAAATGCATTGCGCCTTGGTGGAAGTTGCTTCTTAGAGAAGGGAGATGATAAACAAGCAAATGTGTAAGCAAGCGCCCATCAGGCAGTACAAAGCGCAAAAATAATAGCAATAACAATAGTTATAAAAAGAAACTGTAACCCTCACAACCAAAGTACAGGGAGGTCCAAAGGGAGCGCTGCCTGGAGACGGGAGAGGCTTTTTCCAGATGAGGTGGCCAGGGCAGCAAGGAGAGCTGAGGAGTAAATGACAAGGGATGAGAACAGGAAAGGGTCTTCGAGGGAGAGCAGGGGAGGGCAGGCCAGCGTGGCTGGGAGCAGGAAGGAGAGGGTCGGGATTAGATGACATCCATCCCTTGCGATGGAGCCAGATCCCAAAGGCTTCAAAGGCACAGCAAAGAGTTTGGGTTTTCCTTTGACTGTTTTTCTCAGATGACTGACATGATCTAACTGGTGCCCTAAGGGCTCTGTGTGGGTCGTATCTGGAGGGTGATGACAGCAGTAAGAGAGGAGGGAGTCCATCATGGCTGGGAGGTAGCAGGCAAGGCCTAGAGGATGTGAACATTTCATCTGGAACAAAACACAAGGCCGGAAAAGCGAACTTGACCAGAAAATTAGACCACACCTATTAGCCTTAATCTACTACTCAAAGGGAATCTCATCCTCTAGGGACCTTCAAGGAGATGCTTCAATTTAAAGCTGAGAAAAACTGAAACAGAGAGAAATCCGGGGGCACACCTAGGGCACACCGGCAAATCTGGGTGGGGCGTCCTCCTCCTCCTCAGGCCCGAGTGGAGGCCCACATCCCCACTGAGTGGAACCCAGCCGGGTGGGCCTCACCTTGCAGCCTGCTCGGCCCTGTGTCTACCCAGGGCCCCCGGTTTCCATTGTGTGGATTCACACAGTGGCACAGCCGAGGAGTTCTCACAGGGCCTGTGCGTCTCCCGTGGATGTATTGTACCTGTGTACTGAAGAAATGATGGTGTGGACGCCTTCATGTGGCAGCCAGAGCAGAGTGGCCGGCAGCTGGACAACAGCATCCACCGAGCCCAAGCCTAAGCTTTACTAAGCATCGAGTGTGGACTTCCTGGAAGCCCCTCACCCTTGAGTCTTGGTTTCCTCATCTCTCAGCTGGAACAAAAATGGTAACTTTGTGGTTCAGCAAGGGTCAAATCAAATGAACTATCAAAAAACCCCACCTGTAACTATTCCTGGAGCATGGCACACATTACGATGCAGGAGGCCAACTTCCCCCTCAGGTGAAGCAGGGTCAGAATATTCGAAGCTGATGGAGTTACTTGGGGCTGCGCTGACCAGCTACGGAGCATGGCCCTGCCACTCGGGCACGGCTGGACAGAGCCACCTCCTGACTGCGCCAGCCCTGCTCCTCGCCTGCTGCCTGGCGGAAGCGGTGGCCTTCAGGGCCATCATCCCGTCATTCAATGGCTCCTCAAATTCACTTGCTGGCTGAAGTCCTGGGTCCCCAGCCTCTTCGCTGGCTCCGGGGCTCACACTTTGTTCACTCTGTGAGTCACTTCTGTCGCTGACACGCAGTGACTTCCGGTGAGCAGGGGAGAGGCGGCCAGAGGGCCAGTGTGGCTGCTGTAAGCTGAGGTGGCAGAGGGCACAGCCCAGAGTGAGTGCCCTGAAGTTCAGGCACTCGGAGCTGGGGGAGAGCAGGTGGCGGCCTGGCCTAGTTGGCGTGCGTGTCCTTTCTGAGCTGCTTTCTTTCCTTTCCACACCTTCCCACCAGCTGCACCATGATTTTGCCGGTGGTAAACCAAGGCTGAGGCCTTGAGGGGCTTCTCAGGTTGAGTCACCAATAAAGGGAGGACCAAGGCTGGAATCCAGCTCTCCTGACTCACCACCGCTTCTCTTTTCTCTTTGTTTCTTGTTTTTCTTTTCGGTATGTTTGGTACCCTGCCTCCTCTCCCTCTCTGGGTTACTATGTGCACAGGAAAAGGAAGGCATGGGGAGAGGGACAGACAGACAGACGGGGACACAGGGAGAGACAGGGCGGGGGAGAGAGAATGGTGATGGTGACTCTGTAACAATGATGTGCGTGTGTGCACGTGTATGTGTGAGAGAGAGACAGGGCACAGAAAGGACCCAGACACTCGCGACAGACTCCAGACGGGTAACCACCTGTGATGAGCATGTGAGTTCCGGCAGGGTGTCACCTGCTACACAGGCAACAGCGGACACCTGGGGCCAGCACCTGTGTGAGCCTGGCCCAGCAGGGACAGAGTGAGGGGCTCCCTGCCTGTGCTGGGAGGTGGCCCCTGTCAGCACCTCCCCAGGAATTCCTGACCAGCATCCCAAAACACATCCCCTCAGGGCGTCACCACTCAGCCCCTGGAAGAGAACAAGCTCAGCTCCTTTCCATTGCAGGAAAAAAAAGGACCTGAGTCACATTTAAACCTCTGAAGCCTAATTCCGAGATTTTGCAGAAGGCTTTAAGTAACACTTGTGTGATAAATGAGCACCTGAGTTATCATTGTCCTTCTACCATCTCTGGAGCCGGAAAACCCCGATTCCAGCGCTATCACCTTAATCATTATTTATGGACAGTGTATGAATTCCCCAAATGCGGATCATGCTAATACCCATGCATTTCCATAAAAACGAGGGCAATTTTTGTAATAAACATACCAACATTTACCTAATCTATGCAAATCTATTCATAAGGATTTTATAGAACTGCTGTTTCCCCCTGCACCCTCAAAGGGCAAAACCCCCGGCTCCTTTGCATCTCCGTTTACTTTCAGCGCTGTGGTGGAGGGAGGAAGGGCCTCTGCTGGGCAGCGAGCTCCTGCCGAGTGGCTCCACACTTCCAGGGGCGAGCCTGAGCCAGAGTGGGCTCGGCATGGTGGGAACCACCTCCCCACAAAGCAGGCAGCAGCTTGCCAGCGGGAAGTATCAGCTTCCTGTTCTCAGCTGTGGGTTGTCACTGTCTACTAATATGACCGCTTTGCCATCTCTCTGCAAATAAGGCAGAAGCTGCTACCTGATTGGTATAACATCTCACTTTCCTTCGCATTGATTTCCTTGCTCTCCTCCTTTCTTCATAAAAGGAGGCACAAGTGGCTGGTGCTGTGGACAGAGAAGCTTCATTTTTAGTATGAGACAACCTCTATTTTCTTTCAGGAGAGGGAAGTTGGATTATCAATTCTTTTGTAAATGTGTATGGTGATATTTGCTCCGGTAAGTTTATATCTCTCTTGATTTACAGTCAGCTATGTGGATGGGTGTGTGTGTGTGCGTGTGTGTGCGTGTGTGTGCATGTGTGTGGGGGCATGTGCATAGGTACATTTGGGCTGTACACTTTCCTTTCCAAATATGATTTTTGATCTCTTTAGTGATGTGCCTTGTTTTAACTTTGCTTTCTTTTATTCATATGTGTAAACCAATGAGACTGTTATGTGATAGTATGGTGCTTACAGTAGCTGCTGAAGTATATGCTGGATGTCTCTTAACATAGTAAGGAAACTATTAAGCAAACATATTTGGTTTTATAAAAATGAAATGTCATTCTACTTCAGCCTTCCTTGGGAGGATTTAATGTGCTAAGTACATTGATTTGCTACAAAATGCTTACATTTTAAGTTTCTTCACCAGTGTCAGAGTAAGAATGCCTTAAACTCCATAAATAGCTACCAAATACTGGATGCTGTGTTGGAAGATGTGTACTCATTTCCTAAGGTCTTACCCGAGGTAAAAGTGATGAGATGCGCTTTCCCTATGAGCTGAGGACAGACAGCTTTATAAGAACTGAATTTTTGTACAAAAAGTATTCGGGTACTTAAAGTAAATCTCCTGCATTCCCTGAAAAGCTAGATCCTAAGTGTTGCTCCTCCTCTGCCTTTCTTTGCATTATATATTTGTGCTACCATCTGTTAAATGCCCAACCCTGGCGCTGGTGCTTCTGTAGCTGAAGCTTCTCAGGAGAAAAGTTGCTGTTATTAAATGCAAACCAGTGCAGGATGACTGTCTGGTCACCTCTGCTTAGAAATGGCTCCTGAATGTCCTACCTACTCACACCTTCTCTTCATTCTCAGAGCAAAAGAAGGTCTGAATTCTTTGTTGTTCACTCGAAAGTCTGGTGGAAAGTCTATTCATGTAGTTCTCCTAGGCAGAGATGATAAGATGATTAACTAATTCTGCTAATGGAAACAAACTGATGCTTTAATCTTCTCTTTGTTACACAGTCAACAAATCTGCATGGCATTTTTCATGGGGAAAAGAACTAGAGAATGTAATGAAAGTTAAAGGGACCTTTGGATGGGAACCAGGAAAAGGACTCACAATTTTTCAGATTTCAAAAGTAAAGTTGGGAATTTCACACATGCCTAGAGCTCATAGGTGTCAGTTATTTTTCATAAAGCAGCTTTCTGATTCTGACAGTCTCAGGCAGCTCTTGGGAATAGCTGCCTGTGTCTGGGAATGCTCTGACCCCTGTCTGCTGCCTTTTGGGCATTCTGCAACCCGTGGCTTTCCATGCTGCAGCAAACTACTCATTCTGACAAGCAGACTGAATCTTGATTCATCTAGCTCAGTCTCAAAAGTAGATAAAGCTCTCAAACCCAGCTGAAGTTTTATATTGCCTTAACTTTTCATCCCTATGAGTATGTTCCCAATAGCAGACCTAGGTATCATAAACCCTGGCCGGAACCAAGTATTCCTTAGCAGAGAGTTGAAAACACAACACAACTTCTTTCCTCGAGCTCTTACACTGAGTGTTAAGTGAACTCATTAGCACTGAACAGCTCCCAGCACACACAACTGATTTCCCAGGCTCACTTAGTATTTTCAGTTATCACCGTCCTTTCAAGGCCAGTTGAAACAGGTTGTACATAAAGTCATGAATCGTAAGTGGACTTATCATGCCCTCAAGGTATTCAGTACTGTCCACTGATGAAATCTGAGAGGGACGCATTGGCAAGGGCTTGGCCAGCAGGCTGGACCCCCAAACATGGGGAGGACAACTGCACACCCATGTCTGAAAGAGCTCAGGACCCTTAGTTTGTGTTCAGGCAAATGCGCACAGTCTTTCAAAGTATCACTCCTGAAAAAATCCAGAATGCCATACCCAGAAAATATGATGAAATCTATTTAGAGGAATTAAATCTCTGCACCTGGGGAAAATAATAGAAGAATTTTTTAAAACAATGACAGTGAGATCATCTATTCATTTTAGCAAAACGAAGAATGCGACAGTTGTTTCCACTTAAAAAGTACCACTGTATACCCGGCACTGTGCTGGGCACTTATGTGGATAATTCCAGATCTTCACAACCAGTCTCTGAGGCAGGTGGCATCAGTTCCCAGGTTGACAGGGAAGAGAATGGAGGAAGGGCAGGGCTGGAACTTGCTGGAGGCAACACGGTACTGAGAACAAGACCCAGCACCAGGAGCAGGTTCTCTGCAGAGCAGGCTTTTCATCTCTCCCCTTCTGAGGGGTTTTGCTTTGTCTGTGAACCCACAGCAGAGTCCTAGACAGGAAGGATCCACGGAAACTTCCAAGCATTCTCTGTATTTCTGTTGGCATTTCCCCTTTCACACCACATCCTCCTCCTCCTCCTTACACGGTGCCTTTGTAACTGCAAGCTAATTACGTGTTTAAAACTGAAGAACATGGGCTTTATTTCCACTCAGTTTGTGCAGCTCCCAAGATGTGGATGTAATGAAAGTGAGCCAGCCGAGGGAGAGATAAGATGCAGAAGTGGCTAAAGGAAGGTAGCTTGTTAAATTGGCCAAAATAAACCTTTGTCCTTCAGTCTTTTAAATGTAAAGTCAAAATAAAGGTGCCAAAGTAGCTTAGAAATATCAGTGTCTTAATGTACCTGGTTCATCATGGATGCAAAATAGAAAAAGCAATTCCAAATGAATTGGTTGACTCGCGGGGAACTTGATAGGGTTTTTGCCTGCCTTTCACTCACACCCCCTCTCTGAGATTTTCTTGCTGTGCTTTGGCCAGCTGGAAAGGGCCTAGGTGGCACTTGCTGTAGAATATTGCAAAGCACCTGTACCACCCGAGTAATTAAAAATGAGCACAGCTGTCGATGAGGTAGCTTGCAAGCATGGCAAAGTAGAAACTGTGAGTCCTCAAATGCATTCCTGTGCACCTCAGCACTGAGCTCACATTCGAAATCCATTTATGCCAATAAAATCCAGATGAATCTCACAGACGAAAAACGTAAATAACACAGAAAAAAACGTTTGAAATGTCTCCTCCAGCCTGCTTTCAGGCTGGATGGAGGGCACCCCAGTCATGGCTGAGTCTGGGAAGGGCTGCATTTCCTTCCCTCCCATGAAAGAGAAATTATGAGACAGAATTATGAGTGTTGCTGCACAATAGAACCTAGTCCAGGAGATTCCCGCTATATTTTACCCAAACCAGAAGAATAAAAAAAATACCCATCTCAAAATGGGAGCACCATCAAATTTTGAAGTGGTTATCACAATATTGATCTGCTATATCTAATAAGTGATAGCTTTTGAGGCACTGCCTGTGTAGACACCTCATTGATCAAAAAAGAGTTCAGTATGCAGCACACGATAAAATATGTTTCCAGTTTGTGTCAGCTTTGTCAGAGACAACCTTGGTAACTCATAGGTACTACATCATCTCTTTCTTGCTCTTGAAAAAATGATAATTGGGTGGTTTAATCAGAATGTGTGGTATGAGACCCAGTCCTGATAAGGACATTTTCTAAGAACATTTGTGAGGGGTCTCAATATACTGAAGGCCATCAAATGAGAGCTTACACTTTAGTGAAATATGTTCTGCTGAGGTACAGGACTCATCAAATACAGACTGTCCTTTAAAACTAATCTTAGAGACAGTTTTATAAAGTGTATCATTTTTCAGTCTCTAGCTAGCAGGTATTGCCTTCTTCAGAGAGGCAACTAAATCCTAATTAACACAGTAGAGAGTACGTCCCATCCGACCTAAGTTTTCTTCTACCACTTCTTTGGCAGATGTGTGTGTGTGCACTTCAACATATTGATCCATAAGTGCTTTAAAACAATCCATTAGGTATGGAGGAAAAGGCTGAAGACACAATGCATGTTGCACTAGTCTCACATTTGTCATCAAAGGCTGATGTGCAAGTAGAACTGGTGGTGCTATTGCACACTTGTATGAGAAAGCAGAGCCTGTGAGTATTCTGATCTTGAAATCAGGGCGTGAAGTACTGCACTCAGTCCCCTGTGAGAGGCTCGTGGTCACTGGCGTCTTTGAATGTTTACAGGAAAGGGGGGTTGGAAATGGAAACCTCAGTGCCTGCACTGTGCAGAGTATGGACTGCATACTTTATCTGTTTTACAATGATCATTTTTAAACACATATTCCAGCCAAAAATGCTAATGGAAAAGCATTTAGGGGCAACTCCAAATGCCTCCACTGCAGCTCTGGAAAGCTGATGCCAGTGCAGGACAGTGGGGCCCCTGAGGGCTTGGGGTGGCCGTGCAGGGGACCACGCTTCTGCGCTTCTCTGGGGCAGCTGTGTTGGGTGAGAGCGTCTTCCGGTCAGGCCCTGGACTGCTGTGGCTCTCTTTATAGCTTTCTTAATTCCTCCCAAATTACCACAGATTGTCCCAGTGTAGACTTTCTGGCAAAATGATGACAGATATTTTAGGGCTAGTTTTATTTCTGGTAAAATGTGGCTCTAGAAACATTTGTGTTCAATCTGAATCATAACTGCAAAGACTAAGGCACCATGTTGACATCCACCTCTCAGTGTGAGCCCCAGGTCCCGGCTTTGGATCCCCATAAGGGAGCAAAATGGATACAGCTGCTCAAACCTATGCCTCCAAACCATCTCTGCACACAACGGGGGCGTAAAGGCAGAACAGCATCTAATTGCAAGGAGCTTTGAGGGAAGGGTTGGAACACTGGTTTTTGCAGGTTGTCCTTTCCCTGAGCAAATGCTGAGAAATACCTGCCGTGGGCCAGGCACGGTGAGAGGCAGGCAGATTCGGCCATGAACACAAAGATCCAGCATCTGCACTCCCAGAACAGAGTGTCTTCCTTTTCTGTTTCTGTCATCACCCAGAAAGCAGCTTCTTAAAGGCATAATAGAACATTTTTAGGAAATATGTGCTTTGGTCTTATCTGTTCACACTCAGTGAAAGAACAGGAGTGAATCCATTCACTTGCTGATGTGATTGCCTCCCTCTGGAATGGAGAGGTTTGAAGGGGG